AAATGTTCAGTGAGTCTTGATTTCGAGCCACATTTTAACCACAAGATGTCAAACTCAGGTCTCCAAGCTGCAGTTTCCTACATTCAAAGTTTCCCACATCCTCCCCTTCATTAGGCCTGAAACATTAATTAGGTTTTGCTCCTTAAGTTTCCGCAAGATGCTCAAAATCTGCCGAGATGTTTTGATTCTGCAGTCAAGTTTCAACTGGAAAGACGGAAAAAGATCGACCTAAGTTCTGCTTAGAATTAACCACATTAGCCTCATTTAAGCCGTGATTCGGGTTCAGAGCGCGGACCAGTGGGTCACTGTGGAATAAATGTGGTCACATGAGTCTGAGGCCCCTAAGGAGGCCGAGGAGTCACGGGCCGCCTGACAAAGCGTAGAGGGGAGAAACCGAGGACATGCAGGAGCCGCCTGAAGGCGTCTTTAAAGCCGCCAAACCTCCTCAGATTAGCAGCTAAATGAGGCAACAGTGGGATTCATTAAAGGAGGGCTGCCAGCGCCGTCCCGCCTCGGTCACGCTCCACAGCCTGAGGCGCGTCACACGCACCGTATACGTCCACAACAACCAACCTATACACTGCTGGTCATTCAAGTTCTGTTTACAGAGACCCAAACCGAGTGGAAAATTCAGCCTAAAGCGTGAAACAAAAACTCTGTTTTTACACTGAACCGTTTGTGGCGACCAGAAAACACGTGGCAGGAGGAAAAACCACCACAGGAACCCAGAGGGCAAAGAGAAGAACAGCGACAAACTTCTCCTCAGATAAGGACATTAAAATTTAGCTTTTTACACAAGAGATATAAACAAACATCATAAAAATGTTTCAGATCCAAATAATTTTATATCAAAGATGAAATTAAAAATGGTTTGATTAACTATTACTCAACATGAAACAATGAGTTTAGTGTCAAGAGAAACAACCAGGGATGATTACTGCCAGGCATGGTGCTGAATGTGGGCCTTTTTTTTTAGCTTTCTTATTTTATTATAGTCTGACTTTACCAAAATAGTCTATGTATTGAGGACATGTATCGCTTAGACTCATTTAAATTTAGCAAAGTCAGAACTGGCTGTTCTCATCTGCTGCATTTTACTGGCTGGACTTGAAACCTTTAGTCTGAGGAAATGTCCTCTAATGGCTGAGAAGATATCTGCCTGGAAGCTTTAAAAACCAGACCAGGGCTGAGAGTCATGGGATATGAAGGGAAATGCGTTCCAATATTCTAATCCCAATATGGAGTGAATTATGTTCCAATATTCTAATCCTGATATGGACTGAAATAGCTGCCATTATTCTATACATTATTTAAAGTTAATATGTTCCATCATTTAGGGCTGCTCAGTGGGGCAGTGGGTAAAACAGCAAGAAGGCTGCGGGTTCGATTCCCGGCCTTTCTGCATAGAGTTTGCATGTTCTCTCTGAGCATGCGTGGGTTCTCTCCGGGTACAGTCCAAAAACATGATTTTTAGGTTAATTGATTCTCTACATTCTCCTTAGATGTGAGTGTTTGTGTGATTGGTTGTTTGTCCTGTTTGTCTCTGTGTTGCCCTGCAATGGACTAGCGACCTGTCCGGGGTGGACCCCGCCTCTCGCCCGGAGACAGCTGGAGATAGACACCAGCAGCCCTCGCAACCCCGCTTTGGATTAAGCTTGGCAGAAAATGGATGGATGGGTGTTCCATCATTCTAATCCTGATATAGAGTCAATTATGTTCCAATATTTAATCCTAATATGGAGTCAATTATCTTCCAATATTTAATCCTAATATGGAGTCAATTATCTTCCAATATTTAATCCTAATATGGAGTCAATTATGTTCCAATATTTACTTTTAATATGGAGTCAAATATATTTCAATATTTACTAAATATGGAGTCAATTATGTTCCAAAATTTAATCCTAATATGGAGCCAATTATGATCCAATATTTAATCCTAAAATGGAGTGAATTATGTTCCAATATTCTAATCCTAACTAGTGTCGCACTGATACCAGTATCGGGCGGAGCAACACTAATCCTAACATGGATGTTCTTGTGGAATTATGCCCCATTAGAATGATGGAACATAATTCTAATCCTAGTATGGAGTGAATTGTGTTCCATCATTCTAATCCCATATGGAGTGAATTATGTTAAATTATTGTAATCATATTCTAAGATCGGTCAGAGTAGAAGGGTTTGAGTAGAAGGTGTCTGGGTGCGTTTCTCACGTTTGAAAGGTAGTCTCTCTCCCAGGCTCGGCCGAGTCCCCAGTCCTTCCTCTCTCCGCTCAGAGAGGTCAGCGCTGCCACTTTAGCTCGAACCTCCAACATCTCAGACGGAGGGATGTTCTTCACGATCTGCCTCGCCCACCACCTGACCAGGAGCCGATCAAAACACAAATGCAAAAACGTTCTCATGTCAGCTCGCTTTCACTACCCTGTTTAATTCCTTTTATATATTCATCATAAATCCTTCCTAATTTTCGTTTTTTTTTTTTTTATGAATACACAAAAAAAAGAGTTTTGCAGCTGCTCATTTGAAATTGACCACATGATCAGAGAAAAAAAAAATCAAAATTTGAAGTTCTTTGCCTTTAAAAATATGGAATAAATTTTGTTCCATAATTGTTGCAAATAATACATTTTATAAATGGAAATTTGTAAAAGATCCAATCCAAAAATTCCACTTTGAAAACGTCTTTATAAAAAAAAAATGTTTTGAGGTTAACTTTGCTCTTAAAAAATAAAGATTAAAAAATAAAATTTGAAAAAAATACATGAAAGAAAAACAGAAAAAAATGTAATCTGAGTAGACAGCACAGTTACTGTGTTTATTTTTTTTTATTTCACACTTTTTTTTTTTTTTTTTTTACAAATTTTATATTTAAAAAAAAAACTTTCAAAGTTTTCTTTTCAGATTTAGTTATACTAATTACATTATTTTAAATTGGACCTAATTCTCCTCACTTTAAGTCCAACACCAATCTGTTCTTGACTAAAAATATTTGGTAAGATTAGAACATCCATGCAGAAAAATGAAAAATGTGAAAACAGAAACTTGAAAAAGTCATTTTTTCTTAAAATAAGTGCATTTGTTCTTGAATTGAGAAGCTAAACGAGACATTTTGCCAATGGAACAAGACAATTTACATTTAAAACTACAAAACACAACTTTATTTTATCTAAATATCTTATTTTGAGGAAAAAAAAACCTCATTCTATTAGCAAATCATCTCATTTACCTCCTCAAATTAAGGGTAAATACACTTAATTTAAGAAATATTTACTTATTTCTAGATCATTTTTCCAGTGCAACACAAAATTTAGCTCTGAAAGAGCATTTATTCTGTACTTATCATCTTTAATGTTAGTATATTTATTTGCATAATTAACCACAGTGTTTTTGTTGACAATTAATTGTTAATATGTAGAAAATTTAAATGTTTTGGATATTCCACCTGAGATTTTTACTGCTGTCACCGTCTGTAGGTGTGGCCAATGGTTGGCTAAAGGCTGAGACAGTGTCGCAGACAGGAGGCCTCTGATTGGTCAATTCTACATCCACTCTACATCGTGCATATTTCCTGTTTGGTTCCTTACCGGCTTGTTTTGTTTGTCTGACCGCCATATTGGAAAACGACTGGTGAAGATGGACCCGCTAGCAGAGCGAGGTGCGTGAGAACGCTGGGACCCTTTTTCCACCTGGATCTCCGCTCTTTTTGGCCCTCATGTCCCTCCGTTGTCGCACACTTTTGCCCCCACTTCCTCGCCGCCACGGCCGTATCTAGACCCACAGCTAGTTCCTGATTGGCCCTCTTGCATCGTGGCGTGGAATAACAGCGCAGACCACGCTTCAATATTGGGCAGAAATCAAAAATATCTGCGATGAGCTCACTGCGACAAACTGCTGCAGGGGGATAACCAGCCCTTAAGGGGGGCCATGGCCTACCCCTGGCCCCCCATCTACCTCCGCCCCTGCATCCACCTTAAAACTGTTCTTTTTTTCTATCCAAGGAAGAATGGCCGGTCAGCAGAATGAAAATGTTTTGGGTTCCTGATGATCTACTGCTGCAGCACAGAAAAAGATACATTCCTTGTACACATGGGCGGTTCTAGACAGGGGCCAATGGGGGCCAGTGCCCCTGTAGATCATGTCCTGGCCCCTGCACTGAAGACATAATACTCAAAGAAATTCTAATGATGCGCTGGAACAGACATGGTTACTGATAGGTCCTTTGATATATTTAATTTCTTTTTTTTTTTCTTTACAAATTATGTTTAACTAATTATTTAAAAACAATAAGAGGACAGCTTCATCTGCTAAATGTTGTTTTCAAAACAAATTTAAAAAATGCTCTAATTTTTACAGCTGAATTTATAGTTTTTTCTTGATTTCTTATTCTGATCCTATAGAGAACGGTCATTTTAATTTAAATAAAGCGCAAAATATGTAAAATTCCTAAATTATGAATGTATATTGCCCTAATAAGAAATATAATTTTGATTAAACATAACTGAATAGAAATTTCACTTCATGCAGCTCTCTTAATATATTTAAACCCTTTGCCCTGTTTTTTATTTCATGCTTTTCTGGGCCCCCATGAAAACACCCTGGCCCCCTCCTGGCCCCCTGGTTCATTTGGTCTAGAACCGCCACTGCTTGGACAGAAAGCGATTTTCCTGCCATGCTTTGTCAGGTTGGAGTCTTGTTGTTAAACACACCAAGGAGCCTCTGATCCTTTCTGATCATTTGATGTAAATTCTCGTGTATCTCTGGACTCTATTGTCTTC